GTAGCTCAGGTTTCATGCTATAGGTGCCTCTCCTCCCTTGGTCTGCCCACTCATAGAGACAGAAGATCTGGGTCTCCAAGAGTATTGGGACTTAGATATCCATGGTTGCACCATGGGGCTGTCATGAGAGAGGCTGCCAGTCTAGGGAGGTGCAGGGAAGGCCTTGGCCCATCCTCTCCTGACATGCATTCCCCTGACATAGAGGGTCAGGAGGGTCAAAGGAGGACAGCAGGGAGCTGGCACCACCAAACAAGCCCCACAGCCCATGTGCCACCAACTCATACAAGTCCCTTCCTCACTCAGTCTCTCCCACTCCCCCAGGGCCTCAGGATCAGAAGGCCATGTGCAGTACAGCTCAGATTTCACTCCCTGCAACCAGCGCCTCTGCCAGGCCACGCTCTCAGGTGGCAGAAGCTTTTGCTGTGGCCACAGGCCTAAAGGCCTCAGCTTCTACTGACTGTGGGCTGGACACACCTCCAAATCTCAGAGGCCAACCTAGCTCCTAGGCACAGGCTGCTTCAAGACCAGCAGGGTGGGAGAAAGAGGCAATCGGCTCACTTGTTTGTGTGTGTGTGTGTGTGTGTGTATGTGTGTGTATAAGATGTATAGAAATGTGCATAAAATATGTATCTATGTAAAAAAATAAATTATGATACCTGGAAGATTAGATTAGGAGGACCATGGTATAAGACCAGCCCAGACAAAAATTCAGCAAGACACTGTCATCCAAAGCAAGAAGCTGAGATCAGGAGGATTGATGGTCCAGGCCATCCCAGAGCAAAAAAGGCTGTGGTAGAGCTCCTGCCTAGTGGGTACAAAATCTTGACTGTAAAACTCCAGTACCACAAATAATAAATATATGATAGTGTACATGTGTATGTAAAATATTATACATCATCAGGTAATAAACTCCTTATAACATGTGATGATGTACGTGTACATGAAAGAAGACTCTTAGCTGGGCACTGGTGGCTCACACCTGTAATCCTAGCTATTCAGGAGGCAGAGATCAGGAGGATCATGGTCCAAAGCCAGCCTGGGCAAATTGTTTGCGAGACCCTATCTCAAAAAACCTTTCACAAAAATAGGGCTGGTGGAGCAGCTCAAGGTGAAGGCCCTGAGTTCAAGCCCCAGTACCACAAAAAAAAGAAGCCTCTTAGCCTCTTCTACTGAAGCAAGTCACAGAGTACCTTGAAACTAAGGGAAGGTGTAACTCACAGGGGTCACTCAGAGTGACCGCATGCTGTGACATGAGTATTAGGACTTTGCAGTACTCCCAGGAAAATTCGAGGTGCAGCAAAAATCAAGGAACCACTAGTCCAAAGACCTTTGCTGTCACTGAATTCCAGAGACCCACAGCATCTCCTGCCTGCAGTCATTGTCCAGGCTGGTGCTGACGATGAGCCCAGATGCAGATTTACTCATTGAGGGTGACCCCAGAGCTGGGGGTTGGAGGGAGACAGACATGCCAGGTACAGTCAGACATAAGTTTGGAAAGAAGAATTACCTGATTAATTTGGCAAATCCTTGTAAGACCCATCTATCTATATTCTTGTATTATATTAACAAAAGCAAAATTCCATTTTTTTATTTATTCATTTATTATTTGAGACAGTGTCTTGGTCCCTGGATGGTGGATTTGATCATGAGGACTCTGACATGATCAGGGGGTTAATTTAATGCACTGGGCAACCATAATCTGACAGCATTATTGGGAGGGGGTGGGAACTTTCAGAGGTGGAGCCTAGTTGCAGGAGGTGGGTCACTGAGGGGTGTCCTTGGAGGCTCTGTCTATCTCAGGCCTCCTGGCTGCCATTAGGTAAGCAGTTTCCAAGCCATTCTGCCATGCTCCACCTCACCATAAACTGAAGGTAAGAGAGACAACTGGCCATGGACTGACACCCAGAAACAATGAGCCACAGTGAATGTTAGGACGATTTTCTCAGTTACCTTTGACACCGTGAGAGAAAAACTAACGCAAAGTGCTATAAACGGAACTGTGTCCCTCTCAAATTCACATGTCGAAGCACTATCTCCCAGTGTGACTGTTTAGAGACAAGGTCTTTAGGAGATCAAGTTAAAGGAGGTCATGGGATGGATTTCTACTCTGAAATGCTGTGGGGGGAGAGAGCACCCCAATTCTGTCCATGATGTAAAGACATAGCAATGGTGGCTGTCAGCAAGCCAGGAGGAAAACACTCCTTGATCCTGACCATAACATCAGCTGGCTGAGTCCTTTTCCTGTGCTCGGTTAGAAATTGTGCTGAGCTGGGCCTTTGAGGGCCCTCAGTCTATGGGCTGGGCTGACGCTCTCAGGTTTGTAGCTTCAGGTCCTGAGTCTAGAGGCCTGTGGCTCTGGGATCCAGAGGCCAGAGACTTATGGATCTAGGGGCTCACACTACAGGTTTATTGCCATGGGGTTTGGGCAGCAAGAGTGGAAGTGGCAATCAGTACCAGAAGTCAAAGCTCCCATGTATTGGGTACTGTGACCCATGGCTCCTAACAGCAGCTAGTGCCTCTTCTTGAACCTCAGGTAACAAGAGCCTCCAACCTTACAGTGAGTAATGTCACAGCTTGCTCCACAGCAGCCTAGAGTTCTTTTTCAGCCGCTGGGGTAGTCCTCATTTGCACTTCTGGCTGCTCTCAGCAAATCAGAGGCTTTCCACCTGCTGCTGCTGCTGCTTCACTGTCTTCATGTTGCAAACTCAGTCTTCTTCCACCCATGATGTAGATCACAATGTGTCAACACCCAGGAAGAGCAGACGACAGTATGTCTGGGTGACTGAAAAAATAAGAGGAGCAGCCTCCTTGATATACTCAAGAGGAAGCCATGGCAACAATATTTGACCAATCACAGCACAGCCCTTCATGCAAATGAAGGATTGTGTCTGCACCAATCACAGCACAGCCCTCCATGCAAATGAAGGATTGTGTCTGCACCAATCACAGCACAGCCCTCCATGCAAATGAAGGATTGTGTCTGCACCAATCACAGCACAGCCCTTCATGCAAATGAAGGATTGTGTCTGCACCAATCACAGCACAGCCCTCCATGCAAATGAAGGATTGTGTTTGCACCAATCACAGGCTCCCACCGGGCCCCAGGGGAAGTGCTCCCCCTCTGGCCGGCATGAGAATAGGTGCAGGGTCACCCACAGCTCCCTGGCTTGGAGCGCTGCTTTCCAAGCTGGCGCAGGCTGTCTTCAGCCATGGTCGTGGTGGTCGTCCACAGCCCCCGCAGCTGTCCATGGAGGAGTCAGCCAAGCCCTGGAACCTGACTTCCACAGTTCCTCTTGTTCACAGCCCTCATTCACGCTATTTTGTCCCAAGCACCCTAAGCATGCCAGCGTCCTGTGTCATTGAGGGACTTGGGTTTAAACACGGGTGAGAGTCCTCCAGTCCTGCATTAGTGACACAGAATCCAGACGTGACAGAGCAGATGGTGGGGAAGACGTGGCACCAAGCGTCTGTCATTCAGCGCTGCTGGAGCGGAAATGGCACAGCCGCTTTGCAAGGCAGCATGGCGGTTTCTTGGAAACCTAAGCCCACCCTCACCCTACAGCCCAGCACTCGTGTTCCTCGGGGTTCACCCAAGAGACACAGGAGCTGTGTCCAGAAAACCTGCCTAAGGCAGTTGTCAGCAGCTGCTCTCACAGTCTCCCCTCCAGGAAGCAGCCTGGGTGTCCTGAAGGTGACTGGCCAAGTGCAGGGCGTCCGTGGGCTCTGAAGCGCCCATGGGGGCCTTCAAGGGGAAAGTGGACTGCGTGTCACCAATGAGAGAAGGGGCCTGTGACAGTGTGCACAAGTCCAGCCGGGGCCATCGTGGGAACGCAACCCCCACAGGGGACATCATGACCCCCAGGGGCTGGGGAGGACCCATGACCAGGGGCAGAGACTCTTTGTTAAAAGGTGGAAAGATGAACCAGAGAGGGGAAGATGGCGGGTAGCCATGGCGTCCTGCGAAGTTCATAAAGAACTTCGCCCATGGAGACAGCAAAGGAGAAATCTGCCTTTGAAAACACGTGCCAGGACCCAGGACAGGGCCTTCGAGTCCCGCCAAGGGACAGGGCCCGGGGCCTGGGCAGCACCCGCCTGCTGAAGCCCAGAACCGCGCAGGACACGCAGGACGCGGAGCGGTGGGCGTGGCCCGAGGAGGAGGCGCTGCGCTGGGCGTCCAGAGGGGGCGCCGGAGGGCAGACGAGGCTGCCTGGGCCAGGAGACAGCTCAGCCCTTTTCCTTCTGGGGCCGGGGCTCATGGGAGATATGCAGATGAGCCCGGGGGCACCATGGGAGGTGGCCCTTTATAAGCGCGGCGGCGCGGCTCAGCTCCGCCTTTCCCCAGGATTGCTTGGAGCAGAGGGCGGCTGGTGAGGACGGGGCGGGGCCTGTCGGGGTGGGGTCGAGTGGCGGGGCCTAGCAGGGCGGGCCTAGCGCCGCCAGAGTCTGGAGCTGGGTGGGCTGAAGCCCCTTATGGGCCTCTGTCCTGCAGGCGCAGCCTGGGCATCAGGGTCCAGGCTCGCGCTTCCTTGGTCATCTTCAGTTCCACAGACCAGGCTGCCCGGGTGTATATTGGGGTTCTCGGGGATCGGGTTGACGAGAGCTGCAGCGGCTGGCGGGGTTGCCCAAAGGACGTCAGGACCTGTGCGCCTCAAGTCCAGCAGAGTCTGTCCCGAGAGGCCTGGCCTGAACCGGACCCTTTACACCAGGTCCACGACACCCCTCGCCTGGCTTGCCCCGTCACCTGCCCGCCAGTGTCGCCTGACCTCACTTCCTTTGCTTTTCAGCTCCCCAGGGACTGCAGCACGGCTGAGAATTTCTGAAAATACAAGCCTCCCAACCTCTACAGGTCCTGTTGAATTGGGACCCCGTTCCTCCACCCCACCCCACTTCCCTAGACGAGGAACGCTCTCATCCTCCCCTTTCTCCTGTTCCTTCTTCCCCTTCCTCCTTGCCCCATCAGCTCCTGCCCTGCTGTCCACCCACAGGAGGCAGACAGGGTCATGTGCCCCCCTGTGAGTGTGCGCCATGGGAGAGAGGGCATGGCCTACCTTTATGCGTCCTGGATGTACCAGCTGCTCCACGGAGAACCACTGGGTCTTTGCTTTGCCTGCTTCAAGGTTGCCTTTCTGGACCTTAAAGACACCCTGGAGTCGGATGACGAGGGAGATGAAGACTGGGACCCTGATCCCCTGGAATCTCCTGCGGTAGGGCCTGAGCAGGGGGGGCCAACCTGGCCAGGGCCTAGCTGGGGACTTGGCTCTGGGCAGCCTGCAATGGGGGGTGCTGAGTTTGGGGGGCCAGGGCCCCTGGCATCTGTTCCGGGGGAGTTGGGTGCAGTGGGCCTGGACCACCCCTTTGTGCCAACTGAGCTGGGGCCTGAGGAGGCAGTGCCTCTGGATCTGGGCCCAGAGGATGATGACTGGACCCAGGCCCTTCCCTGGAGATTTTTGGGGCTTCCTCCCTGCTCACACTGGCCACAACCCCCAATCCCACGGCCATGTTTTTTCAACACGGACTTACCCTCCAGGGAGCCCATGATGTTGGAGGTGGTCACCAACCTGCCAGTGGACCCTGTGGAGATGAAGGCCTGGTTTTTAGGCCTGCAGATTTTCTCCATGGTGGGCCACTATGATGCCACCTACTTCAGGAAGATGATTCCAGGCTGTGTTCTGAGGGCTTCAGACCAGCACTGGAAAGTCCTGCTGAGTGCTGGTGAGGTATGCACTGTGAAGCTCCAAGATGCACCCCAGCAGCCTGACCTGCCTGGGCAGAAGCTGAGCATTCTGGAGACCACAGAGTTCGGGGTAGAGCTAGTCCCTGCAGACATTGTCCTGCAGAAGAAAGGGTTCAAAATCATTTCCTATTCACTCTGTAGAAAGGGGGAGGCAGAAGAGGGGGCTCAGCCTCTAAGCCAAAGTCCTCCACCCAAGGACAAGATCCTGGCATTGCTGAGAACTGGAGCACCGGGCCTGGGGGGTCTGGGGAGAGGCTCAATGTTGTGGAAGCCTCAGCCCCAGAGCAGCTGCCCTGCTTCCAGTCCCTTAGCCCTGGGCCCCAGAATGGAGGGCCTGAGGCCCAGGCAGCCACCACTGTCCTGCCTGCTCCAGAACACCAGGGACCAGGAAGTTCCAACAACAGCTCCTCTCCAGCAGTAGTGGAGCAGTTGGCACAGGATGGGGACCTTCACTGATGGAGTCAGAGTGTGGACCCACCTTAGGGGCTGGGTGTTGGGACCTGAGGGGTCAGAAGAAAAGATTGCAGGTAGAATCAGGAGTTAAGTTCTATCAGTTGACTGCCAAGTAGTTTGGAAGGTGATGCTGACCTGGCCGTGCTGGGGTGGACATTTGTGCCTCTCATGATGTTGGGATCAGGGACAGAATGGTGTACTAGGTCTACCCTTGGTGCAGAGGGAATGCTGTGTGTGACACCAAGGATCACACAGATGAGTGGCACATGTTCTGTCCCTTGCTATTATGGTCTCTGAGGTGCCACAGGACCCTGGCAGCAACTCTGGGGTTTCTGGTCTTCAGTGGGAAGAGACCTGGTTCAATTGTTGGGCACTTGTGTCTTGTGACTGTTTAATTCCTGTTCCTTCACATGTTGTTTTTGGTTAAATAAAGTCCTAAGAGCTTTGCTTCGCCCTGGGTAGTCAGTCCTCTGTTTGTGTGGTTGTCTTCATATTTGTCTCCTGGAGGCTCTGTGATCATCTTGAAGGCTGGAAATCCCACCAGGCTATGGGGGTAGGAGATAGATGAGGTTTCTGGTCTGTTTCATGATCATGTGGGGAGATGTGTTACTGGTGTTTATCAATCACATTATTTATAAGCCCATAAATTCTAACCGACTGTAACGAAGGGCCCTGTGTTGAACATGAGTGTGGGCACTGTGGCTGGCCCTCCTTCACCCCAGCTCCCACCTCCATCTGTTCTCATTTGGAAACACCTCCATGTGCCCTGGTCAGGTTTCCCATCGTTGCTCTGTGGGTCTCCTGGAGGCCTGACTTAATCATGGCCTTTGAAAAATGACTTCAGGCATTGTTTGCTCATTTCAGATAATGCATATTCATTGTCAGGGTTTAGAAAACAGGAAAGCAAATAGGAGGGCTAACATGGCCAGTCGTGCATTCGCTAGCACTTGATACATACTGTTTTATTTTTTCCTATGGATACTTACAGTGTTTAGGGTTTGGGGATCGAGTCCAGGGCCTTGTTCTTTCCAGGCAAGTACTCTGCCACTTGAGACTTGCCCCCCAGTCCTTTGCTTTTTCTGTTGTTTTTGCTAACTGCCCAGGCTGGTCTTGATCTCACAATCCTCCTGTCTCCTGCTCCCAAATACCTGGATTACAGTGTGAACCACTTTGCCTGGCATGAGTTTTAGTTTTGAAAGAAAAATCTAAAGGTGCAGTCTCTGTGTATGCTCAGGTAGGCGGAATGGCTCCAAGAAGGGCAGGTCTGGGTGCTGACATCATTTGTGGCCAGCTCTGTGCCTAGCCCTATGGGGTGTGCATTACACTTTCCTGAGTCCAGAGCCTCTGGCCCCTCCAGAGGCCTCTGGGACTATGCAGATGTCAGCCCCTGACCAGAAGACCCCTGAAGCCCTTCCCTGAGAGATCCATGCTGCCACATTTGGTCTCCACCTTGTATTTAGGCCTTGGTCTCCACCTTGTATTTAGGCCCTGGCCTTCTGGAAAACACAGAGAACTTGGGACCACTTAAGGTGGGTTTCTAGCCATTTGGGTCCCAAGTCAGGTGCTGGAAGAGGCCATGCAGGACCCTGATGAGCAAGCCCCCTTAGGCTTGGGGGTTTCCCTCATCAACAGTTTCAAGAGTGGGGCTGTCATGTGAATCAGGTGAGAAAGTGTCATTGACACAACTCTGAGCAGCCTGGTGGGGTGGGATGGGGACTGGCATCTGGGGTCAGGACTGGAGGAAGGGACAGAGGTCCCACCCACACTCAGACCTTTGGAATCACTGGCCCTCCAGACCCTTGAGCCTCCCTGGCCCCATCCAGCTTAGAAAAAGGCTGCCTGTGAAGGTGACCACATCTCCTCTCCACTGCCAACTTTTTCCAGACACTTGGAAGTTTGAGCCCCACATCCTGAGGTTCCTAACCTTTCAAGACTGGGGTACAGGCAACCTCGCACTTCAGCTCCACACAGCAAGTCAAGGAAATAGATGTGAAGCAAACCTAAGCCTGGTGGTCAGAAACAGCTTTCAAGCTCCTGTGTATACTCTGTCTATAACCCTACAGTAGCAGGTGGCACAGGGGACCCGGTCTCCCCACCCAGGGCTCCAGCAGCTATGTGGAGGGGCACTGCATGTGGCCACTCACTTGCCCTCCCTCAGACTGCTGCAGCGGATGCAGAGCTCTGGGGAGCATTTGAGGGAGGCTCCCTGATTCTAAAGTTCCAGGTACAATGCCCTGGACAAAACCCCCTTCCCTGGTCCCCACCGGGAAACTGAGGCACAGCTTGGTTGCTGTGGAGCTCTGTTAGCAGGAGACCCTTCTCCAATGACTCAAATGTGAAGGGACAGAGCTGCATCTTGTGGAACCTCATGGCTGATTTTGATTCCTCCCGTTACCTACAGAATGGCCTCTCCTTAAAAAGACTACAAGAAGCTAAGGAAAAAGTCAAGAATTAGATATTCTGTGCAAATCAGAGCGGTGTCACCCCACCTGACCCTTGGTGCTGGCCATCTGTCTTCATGGAAGCCTCACCGTAGTCAATAGCAACAGTACTGCGCACTATAGCACTTTTTTTTTGGTTAAAAACAGCTTTACATTTTTTTTTCAAGTTTAACCTGTTTGTTTTGAAGTATAAGCAAAACCAAAGTTGTATGGAAGATGTAAGCTGGGAGGCTCAGATTGTGTGGACTCCCTGGCGTCCCACCCACAGGCTGTGCTCTCCTACATTGGAGACAGTGGCCAAGATGCACCAGGGAGGCTCTCCTGGTTCTAAACATGCCCCCCACTGCCTCATCACCATGCACTGCACCCAGAGACTCTATGAGGGGCCTCAGTTAGATGCACAAAGGGCCCCAAAGCCAGCTGGCACCCCTTCTCTCAGTGGCTAGATACCTGCTCCTGGCAGGCAGGTGGGAACCTGGGGTCCTGTCCAGCTACCACCTCTTCTCTAGAGAAGCCTGGGTTGGTGCCTCTCCCTGCCCAGGTACTGAGCCTCCTGCTCAGGAAGGGTGCAGGTATGAAAGCCTTGGACTGAGATCCTCTCCATCCTCCTGACCCCGAAAACATGGTCCAGAAAGAGGACTGAATCAAGCCCACATACCTTTTGGTAGAGAAAAGATTGTGGAAACTGGGGAGGGGAGGTCCGGTCCAGGTGCACCTGGTCACCACCATTTGGCCGGGGGCAAGTTCCTCCTGGGATCTTGGACAAGGTGGAGGACTGGTCAGCCCACAGGATCTATTTCCAGGCTGGGACTCTGTGAAATTTATGTTTGCCTGCAGCTTCCCCTAGTGGCCATTCCAGGCTGAACAGGTGCTGGAGCATCAGTACTCCCAAATTCAGACCTGCAGGGAGTTACAGCTGTATGTAGGCTCTGTCCCCAGCCTGGCTCCCAGGAAGAACTGAAAATCAATAGCCAGTCCTGGCTATTAAACATTCCTGAGACCTCCCTGCTCTGCCACCTCCCGTGCCCTGGCTTTGGGATCTGTGAAATCGGTGCGTCTGCAATGTCCTAAGTCCTGGCATGTGGCTAAGGCTGGGATGAGAGGCTATGTCGGAGCCACCCCGGCATGTTGTCTTCCTCCCCTCTGTCCAGTTCAACCACTTGCCCTAGTTTTTGAGGCTGACAGTAAGTGTGGTTTGCATATGTGAGAGAGCAGAGGCTGACAGTAAGTGTGGTTTGCATATGTGAGAGAGCAGGCCCATTTGCAGGTGTTACATGTGTGAGCATGTGCAGGTCCTCTGAGGCTTCGAGGACCAGACGCTGTGATCTCAGGGACCTGGCTGGTATGGCTGCTAGTAGACACCTACTAGAGTGAAGTAGACAGCAGGGGCTGACTGAATCATGGGCCCTCAGGCAGGAGCTGTAGGTGCGAGGACCAAGTACTTGGTGTGGCTAAGGCCACTGTTGTGGGCAGATGACACAGGATGGTCACATTTTTTGCTCACCTGTGATTTTCACTGCTTTTAAAGTCACTTGAACTACTGTAGAAATGAAGAATCAACCCGTGCTGTCTGCAACACCGTGTCCACAGTGTGGGCTGGGCCTAGTCACTGGGGCAGCACCTCCTGGGCTGACACACAAAGAAAGCTGGGGCCTCGGCTCTGTAGGTAGCATGGGGTAGACTGAACCTCCTCTCTTGGTGGCTCAGAGCCTTGTGAGGACCGACCTGAGGCTCCAACCACTGTGCTATCACCGGGGACTGTCACCTAACCCATCTTCTCTCATTTTAGCTCTTTCTATGACAAATGAGACTCTTCCCACAAAATGGGCAAGTGTCTGGGAAAAGTGGTACCCACAAATGCTTCTGCTGCTAGAGCAGGTGACCTGTCTAGAGGGGACTCCAGGTCTGGATTTGGAGCTGACCTCTGAAACATGCAGCTCCAGGATGGGTCACATGTGACTGGGCTTACCCTGGACCTGGATAAACATGACATGCTACATTAGATGGAATCCAGGGGTCCAGGCCAAATGCCACCTTGTTCCACAGAGCCCTATAAACAGCCTGTCGAGGACCTGAGGTCAGCTGGATCCCACCCCAGGCATCTTGTCCTGAAAACCACCAGTGCTGTGTGGTGGGGCCCTGAGAGAGGCTGGGGATGAAGACAGACACCATGCTGTGTCACTGCCATAGTTCACCTAAAGTCATCCTGGAACCACTTAAAACACCAACCCCATAACACACCAGCTTTTTAAAGCAACATGGGAAGGTGTTCCCGGGGCCAAGTGGAGCCTCCCACAGGGCAGACACCCCCTGCATGGTTCTCAGCACAGCTATAGACTGCTCCCGGGGGAAAGCTAAGTTCCAGAAGTCTACCTTTGGGGACACTTGTACTGAAAGGAGCTGGTCCTTCAGCCCCAGACAACCCAGAAAATCAAAATTGGCCTCAGTAACCTGTGTTCACTCAGGAAGGCACAGAATCAGTACATTAAAAGTCCTTCCTATCAAGGTTTTGGGAGAAAGAACCAACGTGTGAGAGTGACCTGGTTGTAAGAGCTTCAGAAT